TATGTTATCCTAACCTCTTTTAACTACCCTAACTTATCCTTGTTTGATCGTCACGTCATCTCACCTCACGTCACCTCACGTCACCTAATCCGTGTGTAATAACATAAAATAATCTGGTCCGGTTTCGAGTTCAGTATAAAAACACACTCTCCCCTCCCTCCCTCTCTCCCCTCCCTCTCTCCCCTCCCTCCCCTCCCCTCCGCCCCCACCTCACCTCCCCCCCTCCCCTCCCAGTAAGACGAGAACTTTAAAAATATGAAGGTAATATATCTATTCTTTATTATTAATGCCTTGAATACTTAATAAATGGCTGTGTGTCTGCTGATGAAAGTTTTTTTGGTGGTCGAGAATGCAATTATGTGAACAACGGCAGAAGGTTACATTAACATTCTGATTAATGTTATGTAATGTGTATAAATGGAATTACCTACAGTATAACTCTTATTATTGTCCTTGGGGGTCACCTTGTGTGTGTGAGAGAGAGAGAGAGAGAGAGTTAGCGACTTTACTGTGAATATCCACAACTCTGTAGTCATACACAGCGAACGGATTAATGACTCTCAATATGGATAAACACAGTAAACACGTATTCACATTATCCAAGGTCAGTAGGGGCGGAGTTGACTGTATTTCTCAACACGAATACGACTTTAATATCACAACATTTCCCTGAAGTGTGAGTTATCCGAAATCCACTCAAATTACCCATAATTTCTCGAACTTGAGCGGGGTATATTTCGAGGCTCTCAAACTATGTATTTCTCAACAAAATTACTGATTTAAATAACATTGACAGATAACATAACATATGGTATTGCAAACAGACTTATAAATAAATAAATCACTTAAAACTGATATTAATTGTAAGAAAATACCTACACAGGAAACTACGGATTCATTGTAAACAAAATTTGCCCCACATTCAGCGGTCAATCACTGTAAACAGATATCCAATGAAAACAATAACCCGTTATAAACAAGCTGCCATTATCAAGAGACCCCGAGTATAAACAAATCCCGAGTGTAAACAAACCTCTAATGTAAACAGACATCCCAGGATAAAAACCAAACAAAAACGTAATAACAATAATAATAACAATAATAATAAATAAATAATCCAGTGAACAATAAAGCAAAGAAACGAAAATACTGAATTCTCTCCTCGACAACCCCAAGACGGTGAGTAATCGGGTTCGCGTGTGGACTAAAGGAAGGAGTGGAGGGATGGATGGAGGGTTGGAGGAAGGGATGGAGGGAGGGATGGAGGGTTGGAGGAAGGGATGGAGGAAGGGATGGAGGGTTGGAGGAAGGGATGGAGGGTTGGAGGAAGGGATGGAGGGATGGAGGAAGGGATGGAGGGTTGGAGGAAGGGATGGAGGGTTGGAGGGAGGGAGGGAGGGTTGGAGGAAGGGATGGAGGGAGGGAAGAGATCCAGGAGGTACAGTAACTCCGTGGTGTACCGTAGCAATATGTCATAGGTTCCTGCTTGAGGTGTTAGTAGTGTGTGAACGCTTATTTGTTCATTAGATCAACAAAACATATATATTTAAAATAAATACTTGAACAGTGTTAATACAAGCGACCTCATAATACTGTAGTCCTAACAATGTGGGAGTGTGTTACCCCTGAGACAGAGGATGGCATATACCCAGAAATACCAGGATTATGTCATGATTTGTGAAGCAGAGTCACTTGATTTGACCCCTAATATGTGGTGTTTGAGACCTCATAAACCATCTACATAATGTGTTTGGATGTCATTCTTCTTGTTATAAATAGTTACTTACACACATAGAGAGCGTCGCGCGAGGGAGGTGTCAGTGTCTGCACATCAACATTAAGTAGAATATTTGATGATGTTCACAGCATAACTGAAAAGTGAAAAGAGATGTAATATTTATACTCATGATGTTGATTGTGTGTGTGTGTGTGTGTGTGTGTGTGTGTGTGTGTGTGTGTGTGTGTGTGTGTGTGTGTGTGTGTGTGTGTGTGAGTGTGTGTGTGTGTGTGTTGATAGTGCGGCAACTGACTTGTAAATCAAGCGTTAGGACATATTATAATCATCAGGTAAAATAAGCTGGAGTTTCCAAAGCTTCACCAGATCCCTAAAATTAGCGTAAATGTAAATATTTTTCATGTACTTACAGCGAGTCAGTAAGTAGAAGCCGTGTCGACCCGTTAGCGGTAATGTAGGTCCAGAGTTCGACCGCGTTTATTTGTACCCGCTTTTATGTAAATCTGATCCTGTTATATAAACTAATGTAACCCAAGTGTACATGTAATCTTAATGTACTGCATAATATGCAATAAAGTCATGTACAGTATCTCTACGTGTGCGTATATGCAGTGTGTGATTATCAGAACATAAGGTCTCTTTCACAAGTCGACTTCTCTAGGTTGATGTTGTTAAGGCTGTATACATTGACAGTATTTGTTCTTCCAATATTAAGTACGCTGCACTTGCTGGTGTTGAATATCATTTGCCATTTTTCAGACCACCCCTGCAGTTTATTTAGATCCTCCTGTAATGCATTTGCATCCTGCCCTGAATTAATCTGCCGCCCTATTTTGGTGCGTAATATACATCATGCATGCATAAGTAGGCTACATGGAATTTGAGAAGTTATTGATTTTACGTAATTCCCGATGCGTTAGGTTAGGCTAAGTTGTTTAAGTTTGCTGAAGTAAACAAGTGGATGAAGTTACTGGACACACTGCATCACTTATCATAATCCAGTTTGGTTTTATTTTTCCATTTTGAGTTTAACCTTTTAGCATTATCTCGTGCACCTTGATAACTTGGCTGTTGCGACGCTAAGATAACATTCATTATTCATTGATCACCAGTTATAACATCTTTACACCTGTTATAACATCTTTACACCTGTTTTCTCTCCTAATACAGATGTTCTTCAGGTGTTATCTATACCTATTCATAGCGGGGAAGAAAACTGAGGAGGTCAGTCAGGTTGGCCAGCTTGAGAAATATAAATAAAGTGGATTCCATAAGTCAGCGAGGCGCTTAGCGGCAGGGTGGACACAGTCAACTCCCCTACACTACTCTCAAGGGTTGTGTTCTTGCTAACATAACCTAACCTAACCTTCCCCTGATACCACTGTCTTGTTTTTCTTCTCCGTACGTAATCTCCCACACATAGTAAGAGCCTCCCCTACACTCCCACACATAGTAAGAGCCTCCCCTACACTCCCTCACATAGTAAGAGCCTCCCCTACACTCCCACACATAGTAAGAGCCTCCCCTACACTCCCTCACACCTGATGGGAAGCCTCCCTACCTCCCCTCCACAGTAAGGCCTCTATCACAGCAATGTGTATCCCCTGTCTCCTCCATAGTGAAGCCTCCCCTACACTCCACACATAAATGGGCCTCCCCTCCTCACGTGAGGCCTCCCCTGTCCACGCATAGTGGGCCTCCCCTACACTCCCACACATAGTAAGAGCCTCCCCTACACTCCCTCACAAAGTAAGAGCCTCCCATACATTCTCACACATAGTAAGAGCCTCCCCTACACTCCCACACATAGTAAGAGCCTTCCTCCACTTCACTTTGGTGAAGCCTCCCCTGTTCTCACACATAAACAGAGCCTCATACCTCCCACACATAATGGAAGCCTCCCACTTTGCTTCCACTAAAGTAAGGCTCCTTACATTCTCACATAGTAAGAGCCTCCCATACACTCCCACACATAGTAAGAGCCTCCCATACACTCCCACACATAGTAAGAGCCTCCCCTACACTCCCACACACAGTAAGAGCCTCCCCTACATTCTCACCTACTTCAACATTTATCTTTCTGAACGTACGGGGCAGTGAGGAGGATGGAGGGGGTGGGTGGGTGGGAGTAACATAATGGGGAGAGGGAGGAGCAGCACCAGGTAGTCAACGCAACAGGTGTCAGTATCATCCTGGACACAGTGGTGGGAGGGTGTGCGTCGCTCCGTCTGGCTCCCGGCGTGACAGAACCAATCCTTTTGAAGAACGTGAATGGAAACCACTCAAAACTATAACCTACATTAGTCTATAATCTATTAACATACACAAAAAAGTGACGTTTATATATGGGAAAAAAAGTGTGTTATTGTCGTAAAGTGTGGACTAAGAGTGTGTTGAATAGTGAGTGTATCAAGGAACTGAGAAGGACCGCTGTGGGATTGTATCGTCTGGTAGGAAGTGTCAAGGAGATTACCCGGAGTGTGACAAACGCTGGCCAGTAGAAGTGTGTCACTACCATAATACCGGCCACCACCAGCCAGTTATAATACCCCTATAACCGGCCACTACCACCATCACACACACACACACACACACACACACACACACACACACACCATCATCACAACATTGCTTACCAGACCACAGTAATACAAGCACCGACTACCACCACCACCACATAACACCTGCACCACACAAAACCACCACAACACCTGCACCACACAAAACCACCCACAACACCTGCACAACACGACACCTGCACCACAACACCTGCACAACACGACACCTGCACACAAAACCACCATAACACCTGCACACACACACAAAACCACCACAACACCTGCACCACAACACCTGCACCACACACACAACACCTGCACAACACAACACCTGCACCACACAAAACCACCACAACACCTGCACCACACAACAGTACCACAACACCTGCACCACACAACACCTGCACAACACAACACCTGCACCACACTACAACACCATAACACCTGCACCACACAACATCACCAAAACACTTGCCCCACCATAACTCCTGCACCACACACCACCACCATAACACCTGCACAGTGTAACACCACAACACCTGCACTACACAACACCACCACAACACACGCACATCACCACAACGCCGCACCACCACAACACCACCACCATAACACCTGCTCAACACAACCCCAGAACACCTGCACAACAAAACACCATCACCTGCACCACACATCACCATCACACCTGCACCACACAACACCACCATAACAACTGCACAACACAAAACCACAACACCTGTACAACACAACGCCACCAAACCTTCACCTCACCACCACAATATAAACATCTTGCCGGTTTTTACAACACACTCGGTCATGGACTGAGAGAGGAGACGAAGAGGAACAGCCAAGGTAAAGTATATTATGTCACGTACAGCAGGAGTGATCAACAGGTTGCTGGCTGTCATGCATGGTGGTGTAGGTTAGGTTAAGTTAAGGTTAAGTTAAGGTGAGGTTAGTGGGTCCTGGTGGCGCTTGACCTATTGTATGTTCGTGTAAGGAGACTGTTAGAGCTGCATTTATCTTACTGTTAGCGCGAGTTGAAAGAGAAATAATGCGTCGTCTCCAGAATGTGGTATAACAAGCTCCCGAAATATACGGAAATATACCTGAATTAAATTAACATACTACATCTAAGAGGGTGGTGGTATGACGGTCTAAGAGGGTGATATAAGAGAGGAGTATGCGACATATATTGCCACTATAACATACTGTATACTGCCACTATAGAATATACTATCAAGATTGGCTGAGGAAAATGAAGCAACTCGTGGGGTAGAGACGACCAGAAGAGAGAGAGAGAGAGAGTCACCTGAAGATTAGTCCCCCTTAACTTAAGATTAACTACCCTAACGCTAACCTAACCTAATCCCAGTCCCCAAGGTAGCGATGGGGTGTTTAATTAATCATCAGGTGATAAAATAGCCACCAGGTGTAGCTATCAACCTGTGGAGCCTCAACCTGGGATTTGGTTAACATGTAACAGTTGAGATCTGATTCGGCTCTTGAAACACAGTAAGAGAGTTTAAAAGCCACCACCATCATCATCATCATCATCATCATCATCATCATTATTATCATCAATCATCATCGCTACGTGTTCTTATTTTATTTATTTCTGAAGGTAAACGTTTGTGCAGGCGTCTTACACGATTGGACTTGGAATGTTTATAAAATCCATCTGGTACCTGGATGTGTTTGACGAAGGACTGACTGACTGTGTCTCTGAACCACTGGTGATTCACATGTGTCGTCTTATCGAAGCTTCAATGTTTGTGTTAAACTATATTTTTTAACTATTTTCCGGGACCATCATTGTTGTTTCCCCGCGACCGATAATCTAATTAATTCACTGAGTATGATGTCTTAACCCCCTGAGTACGTCTTAACCCCCTGAGTACGTCTTAACCCCCTGAGTACGTCTTAACCCCCCGAGTACGATGTCTTAACCCCCTGAGTACGTCTTAACCCCCCGAGTACGTCTTAACCCCCTGAGTACGTCTTAACCCCCTGAGTACGTCTTAACCCCCGAGTACGTCTTAACCCCCGAGTACGATGTCTTAACCCCCCTGAGTACGTCTTAACCCCTGAGTCTTAACCCCCTGAGTAATGCTCCTAACCCCTGAGTACGTCTTAACCCCCTGAGTACGTCTTAACCCCCCGAGTATGATGTCTTAACCCCCTGAGTACGTCTTAACCCCCTGAGTACGTCTTAACCCCCTGAGTACGTCTTAACCCCCCGAGTACGATGTCTTAACCCCCTGAGTACGTCTTAACCCCCCGAGTACGTCTTAACCCCCTGAGTACGTCTTAACCCCCTGAGTACGATGTCTTAATAATGGTTCCTCTCCCTTGGCACTATCACCACCCAAAGGCATCACCATCACCAAGGAAGCCTCCACCATTAACACCACCTGTACGTAATGGTGGCAGCCCCATAATCGACCATCTGCTGTGGTAACTGACACACCTTCCCTATTAATCTCTGATCCTCTCTCTCTCTCTCTCTCTCTCTCTCTCTCTCTCTCTCTCAGTTCTGTCGTCGACTTCGTATTCCATTTCTTCTTCTTCATGTTGAGAATAAACACGACTCTTATGATGTGCGTGTGTGTGTGTGTGTGATTTTGTTTACTTACACACATATAGATCAACTGCTATAAAACAATGTAAATAAACAATGTAAATATGTTCACGGCATTGTGTGTGTGTGGGGGGGGGGGGTACATACAGTGGTCATGAGTCCTTACCTGGCCTGATGAGTGCTTATTAATATATAGATGCACTGTTTGTAGCCCAAGATGGGATCGAACCCAGAGAGAAAGGATTCAGACGCAATAAGAACATAAGAATGGAGGAAACTGCAGCGGGCCTATTGGCCCATACTAGGCAGTCCCGTTTACACCCAACCCCTATTGCTCATATAAGCATCCAACCTATGTTTGAAGCTATTCAGCGTATTCGAGTTAATGATGATATTTGGTAACTTGTTCCATTCATCCACTACTCTGTTTCCAAACCAGTGTTTACCTATTTCACGCCTAAATCTAAATTTGTCCAACTTAAAACCATTGTTACGAGTTCGCTCCTGGTTGGATAGTTTGAGTACCTTTGTAATGTCCCCTTTGTTTAGCCCTGACTTCCACTTATACACCTCTATCGCCCCTCGCTCTAAGTCTCTCAAAGGAGTGCAAATTAAGATGCTTTAACCTGTCTCTATACTCAAGGTTCCTAATGCCCGGGATTAGTCTTGTCATTCTCCTCTGAATTCTTTCCAAGGATTCTATATCCATTCTGTAATACGGTGACCAGAACTGAACTGTGTAATCCAGGTGTGGTCTCACAAGCGCAAGATACAGTTTTAGGATGACCTCGCTAGTCTTGTAACTAACACTCCTTTGTATGAACCCGTGAAGTCTTTTGTTTAATCCTCCTTCACTTGGCCTCTCGTGTTGGAGACCCGGGTTCAATCCCAGCCTAGACTATTATATAAACGATTTTTAACGTAGGATATTAACTAATCTATATTAAAATGTATTTCTTGTATGTGGGAAAAATAAATATAATTGGTTTAGTTTGGAGAATGTTGGCACCAAGAGTTGTTGAGTTGAAACACCCTGAAGGACGTGGGGGTATCTTTAAAATTGCCTGTCACAATGTTTATTACTGTACATTATAAATCCAAGCTACAATGTTTATTACTGTACATTATAAATCCAATGGGTTTTCACAAATGTTATTACTGTACATTATAAATCCAAGCCACAATGTTTATGACAGTAATATAACCAAGCCACAAAGTTTATTACTGTACATTATAACTAAGCCACAATGTTTATTACTGTACATTATAACCACACAATGTTTATTACTGTACATTATAACCAAGCCGTACAATGTTTATTACTGTACATTATAACCAAGCCACAGTAATACGGCGACCAGGATACTCATACCTAACATCAGGGCTGGTGCAGGTGTCGTGGCTCGTACTGGTGTCATGGCTGGAGCAGGTGTCATGTGTGGTGCAGGTGTCATGTGTGGTGCAGGTGTCATGTGTGGTGCAGGTGTCATGGCTGGTGCAGGTGTCATGGCTGGTGCAGGTGTCATGACTGGTGCAGGTGTCATGGCTGGAGCAGGTGTCATGTGTGGTGCAGGTGTCGTGGCTCGTACTGGTGTCATGGCTGGAGCAGGTGTCATGTGTGGTGCAGGTGTCATGTGTGGTGCAGGTGTCATGTGTGGTGCAGGTGTCATGGCTGGTGCAGGTGTCATGGCTGGTGCAGATAGTGTGACACAGGAGGTGGCTGGAGGAAACGGTGTAGGGGTCGTTAAGGATAATTAACCAATGAGAGAGCAACAGACGCCAGCCAGCCAGCCTCTCTGTACCTCCTCTAGTGATCCGCAACAACCACCCGCAGCTGTCGACACCCCCCTCCCCCCCCCCCACACCCTTTGTACGATGATACGGTAACCACAGGGTAAAAAAGTCATCGTATTCTAACAATCATCTTCTTAACCCGAACAACACAACAGTCGCTGCACCATCACCACTATCACCTCCATCACCACTATCACCTCCATCACCACTCTCACCTCCACCACCACTATCACCACTACCACCACAGAAGCTTTAAAAGAAGACCCCCCCCCCCACACAACACCTGTATAACACCCTGATACCCGGCAAAAACCTTACTGAAGCCATGGAGACAACAGGAGGAGGGAGAGAGGGGGAATGGGAGGGAGGAAGGGGGATGGGGAGGAAGGGGGGATGGGGAGGAAGGGGGAGCAGCGCTATAAGGACCACCAACACCTACCGGGTGGAGGGGGGAGGGTGGGGTCAGGGTCACGGCTGAGGTCACAGGCTGAGAGAGAGAGACCCACGGCTGAGTACACGAGCGCCACCCATGCACACACTATTCATCGCATCACTAGGTTCCTTCACCCTACGCCCGCCTCTACTATAATTGTCAACCCTCTGTGGCGTCACCCTACCACCCTACCCAATTATATAGTTGATAGATAGTTAGGTAAGACAGGTAATAAGACAGGTAATTAGTAATAAAAGTTCACATTGGCTCAGTTTATATATACATAGAGTACCGGTATACAAACAATGGTAAACAGTTAGGTGATTCAACTCGGTAACCTCCTGACACACACTAGTGGCCATACTGTACATCACCTTGGCTGGTCAGCAATATTCAGTGGTATCAACAACACATGACACCAAACCATATTTCCATGACACTAGTAACCGCAATAGTCACACGGCTACGGTACTGACCGCCGCACCAGAACGTAAACAAGTGATGTACAGTGCAAGTTCATGGTCGTAGAAAGCCCGGAGTAGTACCAGATGGCTCCTGAAGGTGCACCATATGTGTGACGTGTATCTTGCGTGTGGTGGTGCACCATATGTGTAACTGTGTGTGTGATAGTGGTGCACCATATTGTACCTTGTATTACATGTGTAAGCATATATATAGATTACGAAATATGATAAAAGAACTTTCTGAAATATAAATAACAGGAAACACGTAAATAACCTTCCGCCATGACACACCTGCTCTGTACCCAAACACTCCTGTGGTATAACTCAGGCTCAGTACTTCTCTCCCGGTCCCTGAAAACACAGGAAGAGTACTGGTATCATTGTGGTCATTGTACTCACACTATTATGAAATGTAAGACAAAAAATCTCAAACTTTATTCCCCACTATTAGTAACATGTTGGTCATGAGGGTCGTTGTGTTAGTAGTTCACCTGACCGAGCCTGGTGTATATGTAAGCAACGCTCTACACTCTCCCACGCTCACCACAATTTTCCCACGGGGGTAACGGAGAGAGAGATA